TCCGGGGGCTGACATCTCCCTCGCTGGGCTAGGCACCTTGCGGCAGCCCCGAGGGTCTTTTTAGGAGCCCGGTTGGTGCACTTCAAACTAGGAAAACTGGAGAGCTTATCAACACTGAATCGGACAATCTTCAAAATCTCCATTAGAGAATTGCTCTATCAGTATAAAAAAAAAATCTTGCCCTAACCGGTTTCGCTCAGTGGATAGAGCGTAGGCCTGCGGACTGAAGGGTCCCAGGTTCGATTCCGGTCAAGGGCATGTACCTTGGTTGCGGGCACATCCCCAGTGGGGGGTGTGCAGGAGGCAGCTGATCAATGTTTCTCTCTCATGGATGTTTCTGACTCTCTATCCCTCTCCCTTCCTCTCTGTAAAAAATCAATAAAATATATTTTAAAAAAATAATCTTACTACTCATCTGTTCTTTCCTCATGTTTTGAGGCATTTCTATATGTGATCCCTTGAAAACTGTCATCAGGCAATATTTAGGTAATCTGAGTTAATGACATCTTTTCTCCCTCCCTGGTCTCCTGAGACTGGTTACTCCTCGGCAGTCACGGAGGAGTCTGTTTCCTCTTGCCATGAAACCTAACATGTTCACAGGTCCCAGGTTATTAGGACATGGGCATGTGTGGGGTGAAGGGGGCATTATTCTCCCTACTACGGGAGGGAAACCTGAGGAAAATCTTCAAAAGAGGGAATACCAAGAGCAATGTTTCCCACACATCCCTCTGAGAGTGTGTCCAGTCTCGCACTTGTCAACGTTAAGAAATGCCCAAATCTGTAAGAATTTATATGAGTTTATTTGAGCCAAACCAATGACAATTGCCGGGTAGCACAATCTCAACACATTGAGAAAATGCTCCAGAGAAAGGCAGTTGAGCACCTTATTTTATTCATTAAAATCAAAGGAGAGGACGTAAGGGAGTTACATGAAATCCACTGGTGGTGGATTAGGTTGGCTGGAGAAAGCAAAGGGGGAAATCTCTGAGACTGGATAGAGAGTAAAATGGATAGACACTTCTTTTACATTGGTGGATATGGGATAGTTCACAATTTTTACAGCACATAGAGATGGTAAGTGAGGAACAGGATAGCAATGAGGGGTTCTGTGGTCTCTGCTCTGGTGGGAAATTGTGCCCTGAAATGTCTGGAAAAAGGGAATCACTCTGACATTCCAAAGGCATGTTACAGATGCAAAAAGACAATAGACAGGCTCAGTTAAGGTAAAGCTTGATCTTTATTTTTTGGTTAATCCTCACCCAAGGATATTTTTCCCTTGATCTTTTAAGAGAGGGTGGAAGAGAGAGGGAAGGACAGAGAGAAACATCGATGTGAGAGAAACACACCAATTGGTTGCCTCCTGCATGTGCCCTGACCAGGGCCCAGGCCAGGGAGAAGCCTGCAACCAAGTTACGTGTCCTTGACTGGAATCAAACCCGGACCCTTTGGTCCACAGGCCAAAGCTCTATCCGCTGAGCCATACCAGCTAGGGCAAAGCTTGATCTTTGTCAAGAAAGATACTAGCCTAGGACATGACTACCTGCCATGACTTGCTTTTAGTTAGGAAGTTTTTATTTCAGACTATCCTATGTGGTTGGTCCCTGAGTTCGTATGACTGCCATGCAGGCCTTCCCTGAGCTTGTCAGGTTCAGTACGTGGCCCCCGTTTTTTTGTTTTTTTTTTTGTCCACATACTTTGTATATCTCTGATGCAAATACACTGGTAATGAGGACAACCATTTATTTAACTTTAGCATTCTCACTGTCTAAAGTTTTGTGCTCACTCTCTGGTATATGGACATCCCCAAAGTCTGAAGGTGAGTTTCACAGGATCCCCAGGTACAGGATATCAACCTATTGAAACAGGGTATGTTTCACAGGATTTTTAGCCATGAAATATCTGCCTATTGCTTACTACAAATGCCTGGTGTTTTATCTTTAGAGATAACTAAAATTTCTTATTAATCAAGAATCTTCTAGTGAAATGGAAAAATTGTAAGACATTATTGCTAAACCTAGTCCTCAGTGACATACCAAAGGCCAGTGGAGATGACCAAGGATGGATGCTGGGACTTCGGGTGTCGGGTGTGGCACAGTGCCGCTGAGGCACCAGGAACAGAGGAATAGTGCCCATGCGAAGCCCGAGGTCTGCCCTCCCTGCCTTCACCAATATCATCAGGCTTGCAGTATCTGGTCTGGCCACAACTGTTACACAGTATTGGTATTCTGTTCAAGCTTGGCCCCCTTGCATCATTTATATTCAAAAAAAGAACTCCCTTTCAAAAATCCTGCCATTCATTTAAATTAAGGAACATTCCTTCTTTGGCATCCCCCCTGGCTATATACTAGCTGAGTAGAGCCTGAATCCTGACAGCTGCCTAATTGCATTGATGCGAGGCCTGCTCCCCTCCCCTACCGCCCCTTCGGGAATGATGGAGGCAGGTCCTCAGAAATCACTATAAGTTTCTCAGAACATGGATCCTTCCCTGTCATCATTTATTATGGTCTCTCAGTGCTCAGCAAAGAGAAATAGCTCACTGCATTTGCTCCTAATGTGATAGCGAACGATAATGTCTGTCAATGGAGTTTATCACGACAGGGATGTTTGGTGAACAGGAAGTGAAGGATTTCACTGTTTAACATGCAGGATGGAATGGGTGCCTGGAGAAATGTGAAAACCCTGTACATGCCTCTTTCATTTCTGCGTGCAGATAGTAATGATTTCAGCAGAGGCCAGCACTGCTGGGCAGGATTGAAAGCCTCTTTTTTAGCCTTTGGGAACTATCCTTCCAGGGTTCATTCTGAGGGCCAGGGTCAAATGAGAGTGTCTCTAGGGCTCCCTGCCAGTTCATAGATGGCTTTGACCTGAAACCCTGGCCTGGGCCCTGGGAGCTGGCCAGATAGTCCTTCCCCAGGGCAGTGATGCAATGAGCACAAATGTGCCTCCTTCTCACATTCCATTATGGGCACTCACAGTTGTGTTTCACTGGAATGAAGAGGAAGTGAGAGCCAGAGGAAGTGCCCAGTCAAGCCATATTGGAGCCCAGGGCAAAAGAAAAAAAACAATACTGATCTTGGCTTATCAAAAATTTGATATCTTGTTCATGATGGATTTTTGCATTAATTTTGATGTTAAAGTATTACATTAGAGTATTATCTTCATTATTGAGCTTTTCGGTGCCCCATAAATTTTGCTTCTGAGGTGAATGCCTCACCTACCTCACCTTAGTCCCATCCCTGGGAGGCAGGGTACCAAAACGATGACTTGGATGACAAAGTGGTTTGTAGGAACTAGACTGAACACTTTGATTTCCCCGACTCTCCTAAGAGCCAGGCACTGAGGTAGGGCTATATCATGTACAGCTCATTTTGTTCCAACAACTTTGAAAATACTTTCTTTCCTTCGGGGAAGACACAAGTAGGTACCTGGTAGCACAGAATATTTATTTCTCTAGGGTTTTAAAGACCAGCATTTTGAGTGTGAGGTAGGAAGTGCATAATTTTCTGGGCCTGCAGGACATGGAGGGCCAGTAAGACTTCCCACACAGGAATACCTGGCTTCCTATTTTCTGCCTATCCCCAAATTATCCCACCCCACACCCACTCCAGCCTCCTTCACTGGGGAGCCTTATGCAAATGCTCTGGACCATCATGGCCTCCACACTTGAGTTGCTCCAGCCCTTAGGCTCCTTATCACTCAGATCAGCTTTTACCTTTCAGTACCTTCTGTTTTCCATTCATGATTTTATAAGAATGACTGGATTTCTGGAGGGTAGGATCCCTGTCTTATTCTTCTCCTATATTCTAGTACCCTAATTCATTGTTAGTCACACCACAGTCCCTAAAATGCTGGATGATTGGCAGGATGTATCTGGGAATTCTCCCTACAGGGCCCTCAGGGGAGAGTGTTTTATGCCAATTTGCAGGCTCCGGCAGAAGATGTGTTTTGCCTCTAGGTTTATTCATCAGGCAATCACATTGGAAAGCATTTGTCTACAGCAAGGCATTGTGCCATCTGCAGAAAATGTATACTGAGAGAAGCATGGGCCCAGCCACAAATACGAGTCTGTTTCAAACAAGCAGGGATGAGCCCTACTGCTACCCGGTGAAGGGCATAGTGCTCCTTTCTGCTCTTCCTGTCTCTTCTGAGAACCACTCAGTCCTCCGTATCGGGTGGGATATGAAGGAATTTTCCTGATTATGCCTCACACTGCAATGACATATCCTGTACCTCTTGGCTATAATTCTGGAAGGCATAGAGTGAACTGGTATTACAGAAAAGTAATGTAGGGTTAACATGGCACACAGTTTACAGTAATTTTCAAGGATTTTAGAATTGAAAGGAACATTAGGGAGCATTCAGTTCAATTCAAGCTCCACTTTACAGATGTGGAAGCTGAGGCCCTGAGTGGACAAATGACACTCAAGGTCACACACTGAGTTAGTGGCAGCAACAAGAACACAATGTGTCGATTGCTGGGGCTTTGTTCTTTCTGTTTTCTCAGGCTGCCTCAGCTGAGTGGGTTAAACCTAAGACTTGATAATATGAGGCACTCCAATGCAAAGTCAGTGCACAGATGTTTGAGTTCCAATTTGAGTAAAATGGATTGATTTGTTTAAGCAGATTTATCAACACAGAATAAATTGAGTTGAGACATTTTCTGCTGGTGTGTAATGTTTGTCTCTTTTATTTAGATGTAGGGAAATGTAGTACGCTAAAATCAATGAGTAAATACGCAATTTTCTGCCACAAAACAGGACGTTTCTCACACACTGGTATCTTTGGGAAATTTATGTACTGTAATTGTATCTTTTATTATAATCAGTATGGCCCTGAAAGACCTGACTTTTGAGCACAACCATTGTCTCAGAGAACCAGGTGTCTTAGCAAATATGGCAGAAAATAGAGAAGTCTGTTAACTAAGTATTTTAGTAAAAAGCCTATGGTAGAATTGCATAAATGTTGATTTTTAGATGTAGACAAATTGGGAATATTATTACTGAATCTAAGCTTAACAGTTCGTAGAACATAAGTATCTCATTTTTGGTATCAAGGTTTAGTTTAAGGACACCATATTTATATGTTGATATCTGTAAAACACAATTTTACAATTAGTTAAACTTTTATATAGTTTTATAGTCAAACTTTCAAAATTTCCTTACTTTTTCTTGGGCTAAAGCTATATAAGTGGTGTTGTAATAAACATCTTTCTTCATTCAGAATTTTCTGTTTGAGGTAATTTCCTTGGTGTATATTTCCAAATGTAGAATTGTTAAATTTATTAGTCAGTTTTTTGCAGAGAAACAAACCAATAGGATATAGATATAGATGACATAGATAGAGATAAAGATAGATATAGAGATATAAATACATAAGAGCAGTTTATTATAGCAGTTGACTTATGTGATTATGGAGGCCCATGATCTGCCAAGTGAAGAACTAAATAAGCTGGTGATGTAATGTAGTCTGAATCTGAAGTCCTGAAAAACAGGAAAGTTGTAAATATGATTCCAAGGCCCAAGAACTAGGAGTGCAGGAGAAGATGGTACAGCGACAGCAATTAGAGTCACTACTGGTTAAGCTTAGCATAATCCACTGTCATTCTCCAAGATCCATCTGTCTTCCCAGTCAATGTAGGAGAGTTGAATAGGGAATGTGTGGGAATCATCCTGCATCATTCAAGTCCTTGATGATGGCATGAATCTCTGTAATTCCTCCAAGGATACATTGTTGCTATTTATCTATTTATTTTTGTCTTTCAATATTGCTTTTTAAAAAATATATATTTTTATAGATTTCAGAGAGGAAGGGAGAGGGAGAGAGAGATAGAAACATCAATGATGAGAGAGACTCATTGATGGGCTACTTCCTGCATGCCCCACACTGGGGATTGAGCCCACAACCTGGGGATGTGCCCTGACTGGGAATCTAACCGTGACCTCCTGGTTCATAGGTCAACCACTAAGCCACACTGGCCGGGCCAGTATTGCTTTTGGTTCACTATTTTTTTAGGTTGAGGCAATTCTAATAGCTTTCACTTGGCCTTTCCCACCATAATAGCCCTTGCCCCAAAGTTTAGGAAACCAATGTGGAGATTCTGCTAAGTCCGTGGTCGGCAAACTGTGGCTCGCGAGCCACATGCGGCTCTTTAGCCCCTTGAGTGTGGCTCTTCCTAAGCCTTAGGAGTACACTAATTAAGTTAATAACAATGTACCTACCTATATAGTTTAAGTTTAAAAAATTTGGCTCTCAAAAGAAATTTCAGTCGTTGTACTGTTGATATTTGGCTCTGTTGACTAATGAGTTTGCCAACCACTGTGCTAAGTATGTCTGTTCCAATTATAAATATTGGAAATGGGAAAATAACCATTAGACCCACTGTGAGATGGACCTGAGCTAAAACCCCACAGATCACCTGACCTTCAGTAGCCCATACTCTGAGTGGAGGGACACAGTGATGTTTCAGGTCCCCTGGAATTAGTGTCACTTCAGTGGTTCCTGAAAGATCTGATTATTTACCTCTCTGCAATGCAGTTATCCTGGTAAAAGGCCAGAGGAAGATTAACAGTATAAATTTTAGGTAGTGTACCAGGGCCCTTCCTTAAGAGGGCCTCTTCTTCATTCAAAGAACTCTGAGTCTCTAAACTGGCTCAATTCTGAGAATTGATTAAGGGCCCATAACTCTGTTTTTATGACTCAGGTTAGATTTTTGTTCACTTAACCTAGAACTTTTCTGCTTGTACAGATCAAGTAAGAATTTAGTAGGCTTGCTATCGATTTCACTTCTAGGAACCCCGTGATTAACTAGGGAATACCAGAGGTCTGTGTGAGTCAAGACTGTTCTGATTGCTGCTTTGACACTGCTGTCTATTATAGTAACCATGTCCATCTTGCTCTTGGCAGTAAGTACCATCACTGGGCCCCTACCATCCTGGGATCCAATTACTCCCGTTTCCAATGGAGTGGCTCAGTTCCTTCCCATCATAAGGTCTGGCCTTACAGAAAGGAGCAATCACAGAGCTTTTCAGGAATGCTAGGGCTCCCCTCACAAATGTCTCTCACAGTGTTGGTATGGCATCTGGACTTTCCCAATGTAAGTGAGTAGATCTTAAATGACAAAGGCACTCTAACATTCCAATCTCCTTAAGCCTCAGAATCCCTTCCTCTACATTAAACCAAGGAAGGTCACGCATTTCCAGATTGCTCATGGTGGGCCATCTTTTGGTCCATGTTTCAGACAACTAAACAAACTATTAGAGTCCTTTCTAACTATCTAAACTGCAACATTAAATGCAGACTCTCTCCTTAGTGAGCCTATATCAATAAATTTGACCTGGTCCAACCTTATTCCTTCTTTCCACCATTATTCCACACCATTAGTATACATTCCCAGGCACATTCCTCAGATTTCTGCTTATGCAAATTAGAAAATTCAAGTAGTTCTTTTGGAGTGTAGCACACCTCCTCATGGGTCACACTTTATAACTCATCTTTAGGGACCTGCTGAGACTTCAGTCTAGTTATATGTCTAGAAACAAAGAGGGGTGGTGGGAGAATGAGCATTTGTCTTGCATGGCAACTGCCTCAGGGGAGAGCATTATGGCTGCTTCTCCCTATGTAACTCTTCATCTGGCTGTTCATCTTTCATCACATTCTTTAATAAATTGGTAAATGTGTTTCTCTGAGTTCTTTGAGCTACTCTTGCCAATTACGTAATGAAAACTGAGGAGTGGGTTGTGGGAAAATGATGTGTAACAAAGTCAGACGGGGGACCTTCTACCTGTGACTGGTGTCTGAAGTTGGGTAGGAGAGGCTTGTAGGACTAAGCCCTTAACCTGTGGAATCTGACACTGTCTCCAGGTAAAGAGCATCAGAATTGAGTTAAATCGTAGAACACCCAGCCCGTGTCATGGAGAATTGTTTGGCTGTGGAAACCCCACATATCTGGTGTCAGAAGTGTTATGGTGTGGTAGTAATGTGAGAGTAAAGGAGACACAAAGGAAAAGGACTGGATTTTCTTTTCCTAGCACACTGCCAGAGCTTCCATCTGAGTATCTTGCTACCTGAATTAGTTGGCCCCTAAGGACAAGTGTCATAATTTTCTCTGATAAAATCCTAATGTCCAGTAAGCTAACAACCATTTTATTTTCTTTTTACTTTCTTTCTCAATAGGCCCTTTGATAGAAAGCTTTTGGCTCCCTCTTTCCAAAACCATAATTCTGTACAGTTTGGAACACTCCAGTTAATTAGAGATCTTTAAATTCTGCCAAAATAGAGGAAGGACCAGACTTAAAAATATATTGTCTTGCTCACACATGGATTGATCCAAAAACAGTATTTTAACCTAAGCTCTGAAATACAAATTTATAGTAACTATTATCCAAGGGGAAATTAAAACTTTGAAAAACTACATTTTGGCTACTTGATATATTTATTACTCAATTTCAGAACTTCATAATAAGCTCATAGCTATAAATCTAGTGATTGCTTAGAACTTACACATGAATTTAAAATCAAAGTTAAAACCACTTATTTTGTCTCTATAAAGTTGTTTGTGTGTGTGTTCCTGGGGCAGTTGTATTAGATATCCAAAGAGGAAGAACATTGTTTAAAAATATATAATTAATCCTCTCAGATTATTTTAGAATATATTATAAAATAGAAGGTCTATTTTAGAACTGATTTTTGAGAAATGGCCATCACTGCCAAGTAAAAGTTATGACAATAGTCAAATACCAAAGTGCAGGTAAGATAGTTATGGAGGTAATATCTTTACTATTAAAACAAGCTTTTAAAAACGTATATAAAAATGTTTGAAATTATAAGAAATTATTTAACAAAACACATGAGTAAATATATAACTCATTAAAGAGTAATTACAGCTGTTAAAGGAAATGAAAATCTACAGCCTTATTCATTATAATAAATGCAAAATAAAACACTTATAAAATTCATAGCTGTTTTATTCAGAAAAGACAAAAACCATAGCCCATCAAGAGAAGAATCAATAAAATGCCTGTGGTACATGGAATACAGCTCAGCAGTAAAAAGGGAGAAGAAAACCCGAATCTCAGAAACATTATGCTCCACGAAAGAATCCCCATGCCAAGGGTACATGCTGTATGATTCCACTGACATGATGTTCTAGAACTGGGGCAAGTAAACTGTGATTTACAATACTGGGAGGCCCTCTCTGGTTTGGTTCAGTGGATAGAGTATCAGCCTGCGGACTGGAGGGTCCCAGATTTGATTCCTGTCAAAGGCACATGCCCAGGTTGCAGGCTCAATCCCCAGTGAGGGGTGTGCAGGAGGCAGCCGATCATCATTAATGTTTCTATCTCTCTCCATTCCTCTCTGAAATCAATAAAAATATATTCAAAAAATTTTTTTAAATAACACACTGGGAGAAGGGCATAGTTTAATGAAAAAAGGCATGAAGCAGCTTTTTGGCATAATGGTAATGTCCTGTATCTTCTTTTTTCTGTGGAGGAACTAATTTATTTCACGCTGAGATCCTCATGGGCGACAGGTTCACACTGGGTACAGATGACGCTGAGTGGCAGACAACATGCAGCAGTAACAAGTGTATCTGGAGAGGCCGCAGGGAGCAGGTGAAATGGTCCAGTCTGGAAGACCCTAAAAAAGTCGGCAGGTGGCCATGCTGATGCCCGGGACATGATGCTGGCTGGGGTACGGCCCTCGGTCTCACACGGAGGACTGTCCACTGTGGGAGCTGCAGAAGCCAGTGGTGCAGGCAGGGCCTGGAGAATCACAGGCGCTGGTGCAGTCACAGGGACAGGCAGTTCAGGGTGAGGTGGTGGTCCGAGGGCTGGCAGGAAGCCTGGTAAATATGGGCTGTGTGCCACGTGTAAAACAGGCTCCTCCCCATCGTGGGAATTTTCCAGTTCACAAACTCCCTTGGTAGTTAAAGACCGCTTTTCCATTTTCACCTGTATTTTGGTCAAACCATCTAAGGTGGCCTGCAGCTCCTTGTGAGTTCCTTAGTGTATTCTGGAAGCCTCTGTTCTGCATTTTCATTGCAAGCCGGGCTGCCGCTCTCCATCTTGTCTTCACTCAATAAACTGATTTTCCTGTTGGCAATATTATTTGTGGTAGCAAAGCCTGCATCATTGAGGGTTTTCCATTTCAGCATTAAATTGTACCAACTGACTGCACTGTCCTTAATTTTTCTCTCACTGACCGATAAGACAGGTTTTCTGGGCATTGCACTTCCAAGACTCTTTGCTTCCATGTGATTCGCTGATATCTCAGGGGAGAGTGTCCTGTATCTTAACAGAGGTTTGTGTCTCATACGTGTATGTTTGCCAGAACTCATCAAATGGCACACTGAAGCATTCACTATATTTAAATTTTACCTAAAAAACACAAGTCGATGCCTGGCTGGTGTTGCTCAGTGGTTAGTGTCCACTCTTGCACGGATGGGTCACATTCTCAGTGAGGGGCATGTATCTGGGTTGCAGGTTTGCTCCCTGTCCCTGTTCAGGGTGCATGTGGGAGACAACCAGTCGATGTGTCTCGCTCACATCAATGTTTGTCTCTCCCTCCCTCCCTCCCTCCCTCCCTCCCACTGTCTTTGAAAAGCAATGGAAAAAATATCCTCAAATGAGGATTAACAACAACACCCCTCCCACACCAGTCAACACATATTGAACTCTAATGATATGCTAAATGATATACTAATGATACTAAAATGCTGAGAGGGGAAAGTATACAGTTTAATACTTTGAAATATAATAAAAATAATATGTATTGGTGGATAGATATTTAAGTGTGTGTTAAAGCAAATACAGCAAAATGTTCCTTCTAAACTCAAACTGTGGATATATGGGCAGACATTAAACAATTCTTTCAACATTTTTGTATCTTTTAATTTTTTCTTAGTACATTTTTTACTAAAAAAACTCTAAAATACTATTTTACCTATTAAATGAGCAAAAAGATTAAGTAAATATTGAAGTATTTTTTAAAGTATGAGCAAAAGTTAAAAAAATAATGCAAAATAATGGCTATGATCCTATAAGACTGTTAGTCTGTCTGTGGGTGTGTAATTGATATAATATTTTTGGAATGCAACCTGGCAATTTGAATCAAAAGCCATAACCTTGCCCTACCTCACCTAATAATCCTACATTTTTATTACCTGTGCTTCTGGTGTCAGATATAAGAAATAATTGCCAAATCTATTGTTATGAAGATTTTGCCCTATGTTTTCTTCTATTAGCTATGTTGTTTTAGGTCTTATATTTAGTTCTTTCATTCATTTTTAATTAATTTTTGTGAATGGTGTAAAATATGGGTTCAATATTATTTTTCTGCATGTAGTTATCCAGTTTTTCCAACATCATTTATTGAAGAGACTATCCTTTCCCTATTAGATGTTAGTAGCTCCCTTATCAAATATTAGTTGACCACATATGTGGGGGTATAATTCTGAGCTCTGTATGTGATACTGTTGGATAAAATGTCCTCTAGATGTTTGTTAGGTCCATTTGGTCTAATGTTTGGTTCAAGTCCATCATTTCCTTATTGATTTTCTGTCTGGATGATGTATCCATTGTTGAAGGTTGGGTATTGAAGTCCCCTATTATTACTGTATTATTGTATTACTAGAGGCCCAGTGCATGAAATTCGTGCACAGGTAGGGTCCCTAGGCCTGGCCGGTGATCAGGGCCAATCTGTGGGGCGACTGGTGGGGCGATTGGGGGGACCCCCGCTGGCACCCGCCTTGGCTGGCCTAGGGCCTGCAGGCTGGGAGAAGCTCCTGCATTGAGCGTCTGCCCCCTGGTGGTCAGTGCACATCATGGCGACCAGTCGTTCCACCAGTCGTTCTGCCGTTCAGTCGATTTGCATATTAGGCTTTTATTATATAGGATTGTCTATTTCTCCTTTCATTTCTATTAGTATTTGTTTAATATATTTGGTGCTCCAATGTTGAATGCTTATCTCTTTACAATTGTTATATCTTCTTGATTTCTTGATGAATTGACCCCTTATCATTATACTAGAGGCCCAATGCACGAAAATTCGTGCAAGAGTAGGCCTTCCTTCCCCCAGCTGCCGGCACTGACTTCCCTCTGGCACCCGGGACCCGAGCTGGCTTCCCTCGGGCCGCCCACAGACACTCGGGACTCGGGCTGGCTTCCCTCCGGCCCCAGCTTGGTCAGGAAGGACGTCCGGAAGATGTCCAGTCTACTTAGCATATTACCCTTTTATTATTATAGATAATGATCTTCTTGTTGCTTATTACTATTTTTGGCTTAAAGTATATTTTATATGATGTAAGTACAGCTAACTCCATTTTCTTTTGGTTTCCACTTGCATGAAATATCTATTTCCATCCATT